GCTCACAGCCGTCCACTCTCCTCGCAGGTGCGTGCTCAAGATGGACCACCACTGCCGTATCCTTCTGCAGCACCGGCCAGGCTGGCCCCTCTCTAGGGAGCCTGGCTCTTGGGAAGGGGATGGGGGGGTTGGGGGGCCTAGGTGTTCCCTGGGGCGCACTGAGCACTGGGGCTGACCGTGTGGGAGGGGCGGGCAGGGGGGTGCAGCGTAGCCCCCCGAACCCTGGTGTTGCTGGGGGCTGTGTCCCAGGGCCCCTGGGGAACATGGCACTGGACCCAAGAGGCTGCCAGGGGCAGGGCTCAGGTGCAGACTCCAGGTCCCCGTGTGCCAGGTGCAACAGGTGCCGGATGGAGCTGCAGCTGCCTGAGACTGGGGACAGGTTGGGGGCTGTCCCTGCCCCACTGAGTCCAAACAGCGCCACGGCAGCCCGGCTCAGGGGTGTGGCGCGGTGCCCCCTCCTATTGTTACCCATCTTTAATCCGGGGCAGCCTGGCTGAACAACTGCGTGGGGCACTACAACCACCGCTACTTCTTCTCCTTCTGCCTCTTCATGACCATGGGCTGCATCTATTGCAGCATCAGCGGCTGGGACATGTTCCGTGAGGCCTACGCGGCCATCGAGGTGAGTGACACGGCCTCGGCCTGCACGCGCTCCAGCTTTCCAGGCAGACAGAGAGGGAGAGGCAGACACGGCCCTGGGCTCCTCTTGGCCCCGGGGCGCCCGTGCTGTGAGGCCTGTAACTGCGCCGTGTTTTCCATCCCCCCAGAGAATGAAACAGCTCGAGAAGGAGCGCCTGCAGGCAGCCGCCAACCAGGTGGGACATCCCCGCGCCCGGGGCCAGCAGGCCGGGCCTTGGCAGCCGCTTCGCATGTGCCTGCGCCCGGGCTCTGCTGCGCCTGCGGGCACGGAGCTGCCCCAAGGGCCAAGGCCCCAGCTCGTGGCTCTTGCCTGCTGCCTGCGGGGTTCATGCCCCAGGCTGCCACGCAGCTGCTCCCTGCCCTGCTGCCCCGTTGCTTTCACCAAGTGTCTGTGTGCTGTGTGTGCGCGCGCGGGGTGGGGGAGGGTCCTCTTGGCTGGTCCTGGCTTCTCGGGGCGTCTGGTGGGGTTTGAGGGAGCAGAGCCGCCCCCACGGGCCTAACCGACCACCTGCCCTTCCCTGCAGACCTACTACCAGACACCACCCCCGGCCTTCTCCTTCCGCCAGCGCGCCTTCCACAAGAGCATCGTCTACCTGTGGGTGCTGTGCAGGTAACGGGGGCGCTGGGCCCTGGGAGCTGACACAGCCTTGTCCTGCTGGGTGATGAGCAGGCAGCTCCATGCAGCCAGGCGCGCAGAGCGGGGAAGGTTGCCTGGACTCAGTGCCCTGACCCCAACCTCCACCTGCCCCCAGCTCTGTGGCCCTGGCCCTGGGGGCGCTGACACTGTGGCACGCGGCCCTTATCACCCGCGGGGAGACCAGCATCGAGAGACACATCAACAAGAAGGAGCGGCAGCGGCTGCAGAAGAAGGGCAAAGTGAGCATAGGAGCTGGGGGGCAGGGAGCCTGGGGGGCAGGCGGCCACGGTCAGTCACCGTCACGGTCCCCGTCTCTGGTCCTGCAGGCGTTCCGGAACCCATACAGCTTTGGCGCCTGGGACAACTGGCGGGTCTTCCTTGGAGTGGACGTGCCCAGGTGAGGGGGGCTCCAGGCTGAGCCCGAGACCCTGGTGCAGGGGGCCCAGGGCTGTGGCTTTGGGAGGCCGCAGCATTCACCATGGGCTGCATCCTTCCCAGGCACTGGCTCACCCGCGTCCTGCTGCCATCCACGCACCTGCCCTACAGCACTGGCCTGAGCTGGGACACACCCCCGTGCGTGACGCAGCGGCACACACCCCTGCTGGCCATCTGACCACCAGTGCAGACCCTCCCCAGCCTCGGTGCCCGGAGCCCTGAGGTCCAAACGCGGATGTCTGTTCTGCCCCCTCCTGCCCCTCATGAGCTGCAGGCAGCCCCTGGCAGGGTGCACGGGGCTGCACAGGCCACGGCCCCACCCAGCACCTCTGCTGGAGAGGGGGCCTTGCCTGGCCGCCCCCCTGGGTTTTTTGTGTCAAATAAAACCAGTTTTTAACCAATGCGGCCGCCTCCTCGCTGTTGCCTGGTCTGGCCCAGGGGAGCCTAGCTGAACAGGCCCATGATCCATCTGGGCTCTGTGTGGAGCTCCGCAGAGGGGCCGGCTTGGATCTGCTGGTCTAAACACCGGTGCTTCAGCAGCCTCCGAGGGGCAAAGAAATAGGGACCTTGCCCTGGGGCGCTAACTGCAGCCAGGAAGGATGGGGAGGCAGCAGCTTGCCGCAGGGGCCACCTGACAGCCCCACCGGTCTGACGGCGCCTGCCAACACCCTGACACTGCTGTACCAAAACACACGTGTTTATTCTGGTGGCATGTGGAGTGCGACACGTGCCTGGGCCCTGCCTGCTCCCTCCTGTGTGGCGGGGGCTCCTGGGTGCAGGGTGGGCACGGCGAAGGTGCTGCCCTCTGGTCCCGGCAGGAAGCGGGTTGGGTTAGCTTGGTGGCACTGGCGGCACGGCCGGGCCAGGCGTGGGGTGCGATTGTCAGTCGTGCAGGGGGTGGCACGGGCGGGGTCCTCACCTGCCCGGGCTGCCCAGGAGGAACCTGCCAGATAAGAGCTGTAGCAGAATTGGGCAGGCAGGACCTGGGGGGCCCGGCCAGCCTGCTCCACCTGCACCAGGCCCAAGGCAACGAGGAGGAGCAGGGGCCAAGAGCCCTGCGGCATCCTGCCGAGACAGGATGGAGTCTGGAAAACACACTCCAGTGCCCAGGTCGAGGCCGTGCCCCTGCTGCAGAGGAAGGCAAAACCCCCCAATCTGCACCAGTCTGAGCAGGGGGAAATCCTTTCCTGCTGCAGTGCAGCGTGGGGCTGAGCCTGGGCACAGGGGCAAGACCCTCCGGCCAGGACCCTGCAGGGTCGGTGCCAGCAGGAGCATTGGCACAGCCCAGCCCCAGCCTGGGCTGCAGCAGTACCCAGCGCTGCCGAGAAAGGGAAGCCACCGACACCTGTAGCAGCAGGAAGGGTAAAAGGTCCTGGCCCCCTGGGGCAGGCAGCAGAGCCCAGAAACTCAGGACCACAGTCCCGTGCTCGGCCCTGGGGCTGGCGAGGACTCTGCCTGTTGCCCCACTTCCTGCGCGACCCGACTCCTCTTTCTGCTCTGTCATCCCATCTCGTAACCTGACCCAGCCCCTCGCCTCCTGTTTCGCAACCCGGAGCTGCGTTCCGGCTGCTGCTGGAGCCCGGTCCTCTCTGGTATCCGAGCCGGGTCCTCTCCAGTATCCACCTGCTCTGGGCGGTAGTGCCCCTGTGACCTCCCAGTCCTGTGCTGGAGGAAGGGGTCCTGGGCGCACACTGCTGCTTTCACCGCCTGTTCCAGGATCTGCCCTGCCTCGGCTCGGATGCCCTTGGTGATGGAGACCCCCCAGCTTTCCTTGTGTGTCTTTCCTGATCCTGATCTCAATCCCAACCTGCTTTGCTGCAGTGATGCACAGAGCCAGTCCCCTCCTCTCCACCGTATCCCCCTTGGGTCGCTGTTCCTGCAGACCGACCAGCCGTCACCCTCCCCACCACCAGTGGCCTCCCACGCCGTGTCACAATGGGTGCCAGCATCTCCTCGTCCCTAAAATGTGGAGCCCGGGGCAGCCTGGACCCCCAAGCCCCTGCACCGTGGACAGCTCTGTGCCAGCTTGGACAGGGGGCTCAGGCTACGATGAGGGCAGATGCACCTGCGCCCAACTCACCAATCCCCACGCGCCACCACTGCCTCCTTCCGCACCAGCCT